AAGGACTTTGCTAAGATGTCCACATATCATGACGGTTTTGGCAATGAGCAATGTGTCTGATCAGCGCTAAAAGGTACCTGCATTAATAACATTAAAGATGTTGTGTTCCATTAAAGTATGCCATGTTTAACGCTGTTCAGGGGATGTGTTAAACACCAAAAATTCAACTACTTTTGATTTCACCTTCTGAGCTTCTCTTTGCTTTGTGTGTGTGTGTGTGTGTGTGTGTGTGTGTGTGTGTGTGTGTGTGTGTGTGTGTGTGTGTGTGTGTGTGTGTGTGCGCGTGTGTGTGTGTGTGTGTGTGTGTGTGTGTGTGTGTGTGTGTGTGTGTGTGTTTTATTGTTACAGCCATTTGGGATTTTGGGACTTCTTGGACTTAAAAATCACTGATTTTAAAGAGAAAGTACAAATATTGATATTACAGTGCAAGAGGCAAATGTGCTCATATGATTTCGGAGGTGAAGTTGCTAAGATCAATAATAATGAGCGCATTTTTCAGGTTCTTTTCTGCTCTTTGTTGATTCTTGCTTAGAAATCTGGACAGATAGGAGCCAAAGCAAAATTATTTTTCTCATGTTGACCGATCTCTAATCTCCCTCTGATTGGAAAAATCATTGAAAAAGTGGTAATGATCCAAATAAACAATTATTTAGAGTCAAATAACATTATGGAAGGTCTTCAGTCAGGCTTTAGACAGCACCACAGCACGGAGATTGCACTGATCAAGGTATTAAACGACATCCGTCTCAACACTGATTCAGGTAAAGCATCTGTCCCGGACTCCATGGGAATGAAGACAAAACCCCAGATTAGAAATCTTGGTGTTATCATTGACTCAGACCTGAACTTCCCTTGACAAATTAAGACTATAACTAAATCAGTGTTTTATCCCCTTCATCAAATATCAAGAGTCAGAGGTCTCATGTCCAGGCGAGATTCTTTCCAATTGCTTTATAAATCTTTTTGTGTCAGACATGTTTTCTATTTTTCTCTACTCATTGTAAAAGGACAATTATCAGATACAAGAACTAGACACAAGTGGAACAAAATAACCCAAGTCCCAAAATAAATCTCCGAAAGACCTCCGGAAAACCTGTAGGACTACTGTTCAAGACCACGTCAAAGGATTACAAGAGCGTGTGACAGCTTAGAAGCGCAGAATGAAGAAAGAGATGGTTTTAAACTTTTACACCTTATTGCATGTATCAGTCTATCATAGGGACAGCTGACTAATTCATCTGGTCTCACATTAAATCGTTTGACAAACAGGCTACTTACTGACTTTTTGTGAACTCATCCTTTATGACAAGTTACCGTAAATCCTCTAATATAGGTCCGGGCCTGTATTTGACTCAAGCTCATCAAGCTCCAGGCCTTTATTGGAAGGAGGACCAGAATTAGAGGCAGGCCTCAATTTCCATTTGAGCAAAATGAACTAATGGTTCGCTGGAGTCTTTGACAATTAAAATTGCGCCCACATTTTCAAAGTTAAACACATTTCTTTTAACAACGGTAGTTTCTGCTTCAGCCTTCTCCCCCCTCCTCCTGCGCAGCGGCCGCAAACTCACTGATATGCCTGCAACCTCTCGGAGTTCCTGCTGCTCTAAACATTAAAATAATTATTTCATTTTCTGTTCCTCACTTCTGATTACCTTCAATGGTGTCTGTTTGTTGCAACCACCAGGTACAAAAACTAACTTGTTTTTATTTGACTATTTTTCTGTCCTGCCTGTTTATTATCTTCCTGTATCTCCTCTCAATCCTAAAGAAAAACTGCTACCTGCCTTCATATATATTCACCTCATGAGTTACCTTTGAACTGCAGTTGTAAAAGATCTACCGACCGCAAAAACAGCGGAGTGCTCGCCGGCCACATCAGTTAGGTGCGTCACCGAGGACAAAACAGGTGATGCCCCCGATCCACAGCAGCGAAACGCATCAGGCACAAATAAAAGAATAAAAGACAGAAAACATTAAAGAAAATGAGCCGACATGAACGATCGCGTGTTAAATTAGTTTTTGAGGTGGCGAGACCTGATTTGATAATGTTACTGTGGCCGTGCTCAGGACGAAGATGTCTGGAGTGCGTCAACAATCAGAGCTTTGCATGCGCAAGCTGGTTAAGGTTAGGATGGGGGTGAGGGGAATGTTAAATTGCAAGAGGGTAAACGTCACAATTTGGTTAAATGTCAGTTTTACGGCGGGTGTCAGTACTGACGCTCTGGCACAGCGCGTTGCCTCCCGACGCGCAGGAGCTTGTCACCTGCTGACAGCTGGCTGCTGTCTTTTCCGAGGACTGCATCTTGCTGGTCATTATCACGTGACAGCGACTAGTCGATGACAGGCATAACAAGTCACTATAGAGCGGGAAAGTCGACTAGTGACTAGTTCATACAACCCCTGCTACTGCTCCCCAGAGTGTTCTGCAGCATAATCAGCACGTTCTCTTTAAAGTTGATATCAAATTTTCGCCTCCTCTTCGTCTCCGCACGGTTAAAGTTACCCTCGTGGTCTATCACTGGCAAATCAAAAGTGAGACGGAACACACAACCGCCCCCCGTACTTGCTTGTTACCACATTCCACCCGGCCACAATAAAAAACCGGCCATTATTCACCTCCGCCGACTCCGACACCGGCCAAAATATGATACCCGGCAGTTAATTAAATACAGGCTGATATTAGAGGATTTACGGTATCTCACCTTCAACTGCACATAAAAAAGTATAGACCCCCCACCCCCCCAAAACAAAATGCACTCAAGTGTACTCAGTGTTCCCACACTCCTCACACATCCATACACACACTCATATAGCTGTACACCCTGGAGTGCTGTCTTTCCTTCCTAATCTGATATCAAAGAGAGGGTCTTTCAAACCATCTCACATGACAGCTCATTTCATGTGTTGCCTACGGAAACTATTATTGTCATAAATTTTTATGCACTCCTCTCTGAGTTGCTTGGAGCACCTTAGCCTCCCAGTGGTTAAATTCCTTTGCAGTGTTTTCTCCTCTGTGTTCTGATGCAGCTACTTTCCCTGATTCAGCTTTCATTATTTTCCTGCCTGCTTTCACCGAGTTCCTGTGTGCAAACCATAACGTACTGGATCAAACGCTGCCCACTCTGCTTTCTCAGTCATAGTTGCACAAGTGTTCCAGCTCACTTTGAAGACCTCTCTGGTGACACGAGTGAATGATGTCATACACTTTACGCAGATTTGTGGTGATGTAGTTTGTAAAGTAGACCATTCCCAAGAAAATCTCTGTGACCTTGGCGCTCTTGGACCATGTGCTGGGAGGCTAATCCAGCCCGCACAGCCCAGTGGGGTGTGTTGGACACTTCCATAGATCCGGGTGGGGATTGGACCGGCTCACCGCTGTCGTAACCCCTTTTGTAAACGCTACAAAATGAAACAAGAAACTGTAACCCACTGTTAAGGTTGCAGTTTTACTCTGAGTGTGCATGCATGTGGGAAAAGCCAGGAAGGAGACGTTGTTTTGCTTGACTTTGATCAGTTTTTATCAAACTGAGAAATCTGTGATGCTTTTTTTATGTAGGATCTTTTTTGCCACAGCATCTTTACTGCATTCCTTCCTGCATTCTCCTCTACAAACAGTGTTTGTGTGTGTGTATGTAACTGTGTGGGCGTGTGCGGTTGGTCGTCGAGTTTATTTATCCTATTCTAAATCAACCCTGAAACTCACTAATTGGTTAGTTCCAGCGATAGGTAACGAGGGGAAATGAACAATTAAGCTTGTGTTTGCAGGGAACGATGAGCGTTTGTGTGTAGTTACAGTGGACTAATATCTCCATGGAGCAAAATGATTCTCAGCTCACCATAGTTTGGACTCTAGAAGTGAACTGGGAGGCTTGACATTCAGCCTCCTCCAAGTGTGTGCTGATTTAGTTGTGCCCCACTACTTGGGGCCAAACGTCTGATGCTGGGATACACAGAGGGATTCCTAGATGAGGTTTTGGACCATGTTTCTCCACCATAAACTGTACATGTGTTTTTACTTTTAAATGAACACTGTGAGACCTGGCTGTCACTGGCTTCCAAGTTGACCAAAGAGGCAGGCATCGTTCAAGTTTCTTTTTTCATGTCACTTATAAAGTCATTTGTTACATAAACTGTTTTTCTTTCTTAATTCTGACCTTCTGCTCTTGACGTAAAGCCCCTAATGAGAACCGCTCCACTACGGTCTGTTTTTTGGATTTGACTTCCATCACTTTAGTATCAGGTATCAGAGTTTCTGCAATCTGTCCTTTGACGGCTCAGACCCCAAAGCAGTTTGACAGATTTGCCTTTAAGCCACAGCGGGATGGCATAAGAAACAGCTTGGGAGTTTTATAAAATATTTTCCTAAGGTGTGTCTTATTACTGCCAAAGTGGTTGATTGGTTTTTTTTATATATATACAGCATCTGTCAAGACTTTCAGACTATAGAATAATCACTTAAAAACTGCTTTTCTTCAGTTTTTGAAAAATGATATTAAACAAAATAAACCTATGCCTAAATGTAGATTTTTCTACACATATCAGTGGTCAAAAGGCTCGCAAACACTTGGGAGAAGTGTGTATTTGCATAAATATTCAGACACACTATCACACGTGCATGGCCATGTCCTACACAAGTGTCCACACACACATTCACACTCTCAGTGTCCAGTTGGTGCTGGGAAATCTGACACGGATGTTGGTTCACTTATGTTCCTGCACATCAAACCAACTACAGCTATATTTTATTGGATAAAACAATACTATGTTGACATGTAGCTCTGATTTATTATTCAAACCATTTAAAACAAGCTGACCCACGATTGTGACTACAAGAGAAAAGCGAGGAGGTTTGAAGTTGAAGGGGAGAACTCAGGATAGAAACACAAGAACATCATTTAATGGGTCAAGGAGGCACTCAGTGAGAGTCCCATCAATCAGAAGCTTAAATGGTTTCAATAAAATGACAGCATGCACGTCTTCAAGCGTTGAACGTTACCTACAGGTATGTGGTGAGAGGGCTGAGGTTGAGCGGCACAGAAGGTAGTCCCATCTCCGAACAGTCCACCGTCATGAAGATGCCATCTTCTTCACATTGGCACGGGGACGGGCAGAGCGCCACCACTGGCTCCTGTCTGTCCTGGATTTGCTTGTACCCCCACACTCCAGGATGGGACCCCCAATCTCCTCCAGCCATGGAGAAAAGGAGAATCACAAGCAGCATGTCTGAATGTCCACCTGTCTGCAACTACACCTGCAGGATCTCTGTCCTCTGATGTCTTACGAGACAGCTGTGATGAATGGTTTCCTCTCTTTTAAATATTCCTGTCTTCTTTTACTGCCTTTCCTCCCTCTCAGGATGTCCACACAGTAAATCTGTCCTGTCAGAACCTCTGCCTCTTCATCTCTATTTATCTGCCTGTCTGCTTTATTCCCTGGGGCTCCACTTTGTTGTAACTTTTTTTCCGCCTACCCTTCCACTCTGACCTTTTATTCCTTCCACAGACACTCCACTGTCTCAGTCCCTCTCTTTCTTTCTGTCTTTGGATATATATGTCTCTCTCTCTCTCTCTCTCTCTCTCTCTCTCTCTCTCTCTCTCTCTCTCTCTCTCTCTCTGTCTGTCTGTCTTTCTCTCTCTTTACCTATTGTAGAGGGATGCATGAGTTGTGAATGAGCCACCCTCATTGGTTCACAATTTAGGGATGGGCTGGAGCATCTCCGGAAAGTGGGAGGGCCGCACAATTCTCAAACTCTTCTCTCTCTTTTTTGTCCCTTCCTACACCCCCCACTTTGCTCAAAAACTCAATCTGTAAGGAGTGGGTGAGTAATTAGTTCGAAGAATGGAAAAGGGTAAAAAGAAGGTGGTGGTGACACATTATTGTGGTTTCAGATAGCACAGATCTTCATGACGTCTTTACAGCTGAACAACAATAAAATGAAAGCTGTGAAGGATAAGAGTGTGTGAGGGAGGTGTAGTGGGTCAGAGTGTGTGACTGGGAGGAACTGTTTGGAGAAAATTGAAATTCTGACACTTCAGCGCCCTTCAGTCTCGAGAAAGATCAGAATCCAGTGTCTCGTAAGTAACACGTTCTCAGGTTTCTCCTGCTGGAATGTCACATTCACACATGCAGAAACACACACACTCATGCACACACACGTGGATGCTCAGATGAACAGATTATGAGCGCACATGCAAATAGACTTACATATCAGTTAGTTTCAAAACGGTTTTACTCAAGTATGGGTTGGTGTGGAATTAACCACATTACTTTCCATACCAAATTAATATTATGAATAAACAATAATAAACATCTGACCATAGTTGTAAATTAATCAATCATTTTGAAATGCAGAATGCAGATTTGCTCAAGTGGAAATAAAACGTATGATAATGAGAAGAAATAAACAAAGTAATAAAAAATATATTCAGAAAATTAAAGCAACTGCAAGTTTTTCTTTTATGCTAACTTTGTTATAACTTGCACTTCTTACTGAGAATAAAGTTGGTCATTATTACAAAAAGTCTGTCTCTTTCAACAAAATAAATAAATAAATAAATATAATATAATATAATATAATATAATATAATATAATATAATATAATATAATATAATCAATAAATGCTCACATCATTCAATTCTTAGAACACTGATAGTAATCTTATTTTGTTAAATACAATTAAATAATTTTTCTCCTGGTTACTGTTAAATTCAGTGTAATTTTTAAGTGTAAAACCACACAAGTGGTTTACTCAGTCACTTTTTTTTTGTGCATTTAGAAATCACAAGGAGAAAAAATCAAAGCAAAAAAAATGTGGGTACGTCATTAAAGCAAAATAAAAACGGTGGCATGGCAAAGTGAAAAAGAAAAAAAGAAACTGCAGCCATCACCTTCTTGAAGTGACAGCGGGACTTCCCATGTAAGAAAGGTCCGCACACCTTTAACCGCTCAGGCATCAAATCATTAATTCCTCGTTATGATCTTTTATCTTCCTGTCATCCTCCAGTCATCCAACTGGAACCAGTTAGAGTCCTTGATTATTTATTTAGTCATGCTGTAACACTGATTGTATCAAACTCAGAATACGTCATGCATGCTCTGGTGTCAAAAATGTGTCAATTTAAGTCCTAGATCTAATGTGTGCATGTTCTGGTGTCTATAAGGGTTTATATTTATAGATATTTTAGTACATTATGAGAAATAGAAATGCTAATAAAACACCCAATTATGCAAAAAAGTAAAACAGAATTATTATTTTTATCTGGTGCAAAAGTCAATTTATTTCAGTAATTCAACTAGACAGAGACCATTTAAAGGCTCAGGAACATTTTGCAGGTCATTTTTTTTTAGAAATTAAAAGAGCTTATATTTATATCCATGTTCAATGTTTGATTCTCTTCCTCATAATTATTTTTGCTTTGAGGGCAAATTGTCACGCTGAGGGTTGGAGGAGTAGGACCCAAAGTGCAGATACCCAGAATGACACGAGGCAGGAGAGGACATAAAATAAAAAAAACAACCCCGGCACGAACCAACAACAGTGAGACGCAGACAGGGTTTTATACACAGGGCCAGGATGAATGGGAGATGAGCTGCAGGTGCATGGGGAGAGAGAAACCTGGTGAAATCAATTTACAAATCAGGGAGAAGAAACAAAGCTGAGGAGGGGAAAAAGCATGACCTATGAATAATAACCAAACCTAAAGACTAGAAGAACAAGACAAATAACTAATAATTTAGGGAGGAAAGGAGATCTAATAAACCGGTGGGGAAGGGCCAAGGAAGGAACCTAGAAGAAAACCTGAACCTAAGAAACTGCAGGGAAAAATTTGCTAGATAAGAAAAGTAAAGAATAAGTGAACCTGGGAAGACCTGGTGGGAGCTGGAGACCTAAAGGGGGCACAGAAACCTAAGGGGAGAACCTGGAGTGGGGCTGGGGAACACAAGGAGACACATAAGGGGAACCTAGAGGGGGCTGGAGAACACTTGAGGGGGATGCAGCACGGAGACCATGACACAAATTTTCTTGATCGATTAAAACGTGATTAAGTAAGATTAATTAATTACAAAGCCTCTAATTAATTTGATTATATTTTAATAAAGATTTGAATTTAAAAGCTGCTAGCAGTCGATATGAAATAATTAATAATAATATGAAACATAATTTAAACTGGGCCAAATACAACAGCAAAGATTGGTTTTAAAATGAAATTTCATATGAAAAATAATGAAATTTGATTTAATGTAATATTAAAGAGAGACTATAATTGAGAGAAGCAAACTATAAGGTGCATATGCAATAAAAAAATTAAATAAAATAAACGTTATACTTCAGCCACAGGACACTAATTCATTGCCTGTTGATGATGACTTCCACATCTACTATAGTATTATTATTATTATTATTATTATTATTATTATTATTATTATTATTATTAAACTTTTCCTTAAATTCTGACTCGTAAAATCCCTATTGTTTCTGAAAAATAAGATGAAACCGACGACGTGACTCTGTTTACAAAAGCATGAATGCAAAAAACAATAGGTGCAAAGTATAAAAAATAAAGACATTGCAGTTATTAAAAAAACATTATATTTTTAGAAAATATATTGAATTCACATGCACAAATTGCTTTTGAAACTCCATAACAGATGAAAATGTTTTCTTCCACTTGGCGGTCCGTCCCTCTTTCATCTGTCTGTCTGTCTCTCCATCTCTCTTTTTCTGTGCTTCTTTCCCCACAACCCTCTGTAGCCTGAATAGTTCCTCATTAATTAATTAACATTCCTATGCCACTGTGTTTTCTGAGGGGCCTTTGTTATGGCCCCACAAAACCTCTTTCAGAGCTGTTTTTCATAATGTCCCTCTCTCTTGCTCTCTTGCTCTCTGCCTCTCATGCTCTCTCTCCATCCTCTCTTTTATTCTGTTTCTGTAGTGGAATGGCTGTTTTCAGTTCGATACTCTTCCATAAACATTTTTAAAAGTCTTTTTTTCTTCTAGTGCCCTGAATATACATTATACTCTCCGTTTGCATTGCATGATCCTACCCATAAGCAGCCACTCGTGCATGTATGCAAACTCAACACATGCACAAGCTCTTCATACACCTGCAAACTCCCCCACTCCCTAGTCTCTTCTCTCCCCTCCTGCAGCACTGCAGTCATTTTGTGGTATGCTCTTTGACTGTCTGGCCCCAGGGGGCCCCTAAAACACACATAGTGTACTGTAAAAACCTGCCTGTCTGTCTGTCTTCTCTTACTGACTTTGCTATTGTTCTCAATTCCATCCTTCACTTTGTAATGATTCATTCAAGTTCAAATATGCAGCAGAGCACCAACAGGGTGCTCTTTCCTGTTGGAAAAGTCAGCCAGGATTTAGTCAAATTGCACCTGTTCTCACAGAGTTGATGGATTTGTGTGAGGTTGAGTGTGAGAACATTTTTGAAACAAAGAAGAACAGTTCTTCTCTTTTTTCTAATGATGAAATGCAGAGAACAGAGAGAGAGAGAGAGAGAGCTTTTAGGAAAATCATGTGTCTTTATATAGAATAAACTGTATTAGCCATCGTTCTTAATTTAGTTGCTTGTATCATATCTAATTTCTTTCTCTTTATTTATTCGGGACAATGCACATTAATGAGCAATCAAGTACTTTTGTACAGACAGTAAATGAGCCAGATTATGGCATAGTTGCTTATCTTCATTTGTAGTCCCTAGGCAGGAAAACTAACACTGAACCTACTGACAACATACAATTGTAAAACAACAGGAAACAACAATATCTGTTTTTGTATTTAACAGTTTAACTTCTTCATGATCTGCACATCTCCTCTCAGCATGACAATTTCCAGACTGCATCTTAATCAGTTATCATGATTCATCACTTTTGTTTTTGTCCTCATGGACTTTATTACTTTGGTTTTATCACATATTCTAACTTTGGCATGTCCTGTTTTCTGGTTTCTATCTATACACTCATATAGTACTCTTGTTGTCTTCACTTGATTCTATTCAGAGGGGAGGGGTCATCTGACTTTGATGACTCCTCATACAGAGATCATTAATCCATCACCCAGGCTTGCACACACACACACACACACACACACACACACACACACACAGAGAGAGAGAGAGAGAAAGAGAGAGAGAGAGAGAGAAAGAGAGAGAGAGAGAGAGAGAGAGAGAGAGAGAGAGAGAGAGATAGAGAGAGAGAGAGAGAGAGAGAGAGAGAGAGAGAGAGAGAGAGAGAGAGAGAGAGAGAGAGAGAGAGAGAGAGAGAGAGAGAGAGAGAAACTTTAAAATCCATTGCCAGATGGGCCTAGAACATCCACTGAAATCCCAAACTAGCAATGATCCCCAGGGCCCAACCAAGTGCCTTCATTGCTTTGAGGTGAATGTGAGAAGTCCTGTAACATTTTGATGCTTAATTACATACCAAGGCTTGAATTCCTGTGCAATAAGAAGTGCATATGTAACATACAACTTTAGTGATGACTTGTGGTGAGACCACACCTCTTCGGTCTGAATGCACAGAACACTTATGTAAGTCGGCTTTCTTCCCCACCTACAAATAGACTGATTCA